TCCGCAAGTTTACCAAGTCATGCTTATTGAAGACCTTCATCAAGCTTAGGTATGTTTATCATAGGTTTATATTATGTGGGTTTAGTACTTTAAGCTCAATATCATATACACACACATTTTATTGGTTTCTATGTATATGCAAAGGAAGATTCACTTTAATTTCTATTTTATCTCCAGATTTCAATTATTTATTTATTATTTTTCAAAAATTGATTAACAAGTCTGCTTTGCTTGCAAAAACATACATAACCTTCATGTAATTATGGAACTAACTACTTGTGTAAACGAGTCAGGTGCATAAATCAAATTATTTGTGTTTCTTCTCACCATATGTAGTAGAATATACTAGATATCAAGAAATGTGAATTTTGAAATACAGTACTCGATAACTTTCAATGTCATAAGATATCACTAGTACAACAGACCGTGGGATGGTAGAGCTAAGGAGACACCTTTTTGACATGGACAGATGAGACTAAAGGCCTCGCAGAGTCATGAATGCAGACAAGTTCTGAACTTCCATCAATTTCCTGTGAAAGGTCAAAGTGAGTCATTCCTGGTACGACTCATTAAATAAGAAATGTAGTAAAAATGAATTAGTAAACATTAATAACAATTAAGGAACAAGGATCAAGAAAGAATACATAAAAGGGATATAAGTGTCTCAGGTATTACTTGGTGAAGTGGATAAAGATATAACAGAATGAATATACTCATTATATTACTTTCAAGTTACATGACTAGATTCATATAAATGAAAAGGAACTTGAAAGAGCACCAAATTGCACTCTCCTCAAGCATTTGATGATAAGGGCTTTATTTCTTATGTTTCAGGAATCATGAACAGACACCACAATTTATTTTTATTTTTTTAAAATTAGAAGGAGCAGCAGGGAAGTAAGTCCAAGCTTAAGAAGTGAGAAAGAAAAAGGTGAGTCACTAGTAGAATTCATTGAACTGCAACATAACTAAATGTGCTAAAAACTTGCTTTCCTGTCCTATGTTGCCTTTGCTATGCTACTTAATTGGAAGCTTCTAAGATCCTGACAAATTTACTAAGTCATGCAGGCATTTGACGATGCAAACTAGATCCTTCAACTTCGTGCGCCAATCTTCAAAAAACTTCTCATAAAGCTGAATGGACTTACCAACAAAAGTAAACCCCTAAAAACAAAAGGATAGAAGACACAAAGTTTGGGGTGTTACTTAGATTCTAGGTGGTTACGCACATATGATGGAACATAATTTGAGCATAATTTGAGTCAATGATCTAAGAGAAGTGACATGACAAATCTTCTACGCTTTTTTTAGATGAATAACAATTTATACATTTGTAAGCATCATACACAAATGGACATCGTGTCCTGGAATGCTAGACACGCCTATTTTTAGTTGAAAGAACTGTGACTCTGCATCTAAAAAGACATCTATAAAATGTCATTATTCCAAAACAAAGTGACTCTCTATTAGAAAGGCAAATGCATTACCATAAATCATAATAACTACAAGTATCTAATATATCTGCAATTGAATTGTGTGTTGATGTATAGATCCAGAAACAGATCAGCAGTGCGTTGACACAGCTACTGTTTTTCAGTTTGCTCAAATGATGGATTGGTGGAAGAACCAGTTTTAGTTCAACATACATTTCAAGAAAACAACAGTTTAAAGGGAGATTTAGATATCATGAAAACCTGAAGCCCATTGAAAACAGAATCTTGCCTCTCCTTTCCAGGAAGTGCAAATTTAAGATCTACTGGTATCTTGTCACTTGCATCTGAAAAAAAAAAAGCAGATTAGTCTTTGTTACATAATTAGTAAGAAATTGCTAGCCAATCCAACAAATGAGATTCAAGAGATGGAAAGATAAATCCGAAAATGTTGTGAGGAGCCATGAGGACCTTCAAATACATCCGTGTAGGATGGATCACATACAACAACTATTTCTTTCACTTCATTCATTCCACAGAATGTATCGAAACTGCGAAAAAACTAATCTGCAGTTAGCTTTCTCCAAAGAAGATTAGTGATTGATACATTTAGAGTAATAATTTGACAAAAAGCTACCTGTATAATGCGATTGGTTGACCTAACAGAGGAAGATACTGCTTTGGCATGCCTACCTAAGGAATGGACAAAATGCTGCAAATTGTTATTCATTTTACTTCCAAATGAAGCATCGTAAGAGCTTAAAACACAGGCTATAGTTCACATATAGTTGATCATTAACAAGTCAATTATCATTTGGATCTGATACTTTCAAAGTAAAGCAATGTTGACAATAACGTTACAATGTATAATGTGATGGTATGCCTCTTGTTAGGTTAAAGGGCATATAGTGTAACACAACATAGGCTACTTGTTTTATTTATTCTACAACAAATACAAAAATATCTATAATGAGTTTAACAAATAGGACCATAATTTCAAAATAAAAGATAACTTTCCAAAAAAAAATATAAAATTCAATACAACATATACTAATTATTAATCAGTACGTCCCAATATATTATCACAAATTAACAAATCACATCCAAAATTTCACATTCCCTACATTCTTCAAATATCTTAAGTTCACAGCCATAATCATATCACGACATTGAAAAAAGTCATCAGACTTAATAACGTGTTTCTGCTATTTCAAATGTTATGTAACACTTAAGGTTTGTTAAGTTACATTAGGCAAATAACAAGTTATGTAACGCATTTTTTTCAACATTGTTTAAGAGTCAAATATAACTTTGATCTAAGCAGCAGAAGACCATGTCATTGGATATTTCTCGATGCTCCTCTAACCTCTAACTATGATTCTCCAAAATTCAGATAGCTTGGCCATCACCAGCATGAGATTAGGCAATTAGTTTGACTATAGATGGCTTTTTGGCAAAGAGATAATATTGAGAAATAATGGAGAGTAGACCTTAACAGCAGTGCTTCAAATATCGGGCGACATGTCGGACATGTCGGTCGACATGTCGGATTTAGGGGCCGACCGACACGATATGGAGTTTTTCAATGCGTATAGCGTTTTCAGGGTTCATGTCGGATATATCGGGGACATGTCGGATATGTCGGGCGGATATATCGGGGACATATCGGCTATGTCGGTTGATTTTTCAGTCTGAAAAATTGGCTGATTTTTTTTGTGCTTTTGGTTATGTTTATCTAATTAGCTTTGAATTTAAACGCTTGATTGTCTTAGTATAGCTTCCAAAAACAAAACTCGATCAGTTAGGAAAAATGAAAAAAAAGATCTAAGTCATTTTCATCGCTCATCTTCTATCTCTCCTTCGACATCTCATTGGTTTCTTCTCCGAGCTATTCCTCCGATATCAATATCAGGTGATCTTCTCTTTCCTTAACCATCAACATCGGACTCCTCTTTTCTCACTTCTTTCCTTCAACATCAACTCTAAGTATCATAAGCTATTTACTTTTTTATATGTTTAAACAATAGAATTTATTAAGTATGTTTAGATTTTATTTATGATATTTATTACATATATGCACACCATCCGATATGGCAATCCGATATGTTTTTCATGTCCCCCGACATATCTCCGATTTCTGCTATCCGACATGAATTTTAGCCGTCCGACATGAACCCGACATCCGACATTTAAAATCTTGCTTAACAGTCAGTGGAAGTTTGAGAAAAGTATTTACTTTATTGCAACTCATCAATTATAATTCTTATTCCATTTAGTTTCATGATAAACTAATAGTTTCTTTTATGTTTTCATGTTCCAACTCAATGAAAAGTTGCATAATGTCTCTGCTTTGATCTCAGGTCGAGGAGCACATGAACTTGTTAGGTCCTTTCGTTTTGATGGTGATTTACAAATAATTTACTTCTAACGTTGTTTGTCTAGTGTTTGTATTTTGTATTTATTCTAGTCAAACAATACGTTGGAGGATGGATGGAATCGAGCATTCACGATCAAATCCAATAGAGGTCGGAGGAATTGTGGAGTGAAGCATTGCATTCAAGTTAAAGATCCAAGATCCCTCTTCATCCGCACAGTTAACCAAGTCGAGCTCATTGAAGACCTTCAAGCTTGGATAACTTAGTTTTAGGTTTTATATTATGTGTGTTTAGTACTTTAAGCTCAATATCATATACACACATATTTATTGGTTTCTATGTATATATATATATATATATATATATACACATTTTAGTTTTTGGTTTCTATGTATATATATAGTTATATATATACATACATGTTTTTGTTTTCAAGTTTATATAAATATAAAATTACATATTTCATATTTATTGTTTTGATTTGGTTTAGCCTTATAGATATGAAACAAATATATATTCATATACATAGTTTATGTTTCATATATATCATTTTGTTAAATGCATATTGTGCAAAACTTTATTTTTGCATAATATTATTGAGTTTTTGGTTTATAGACTTAACAACAATGGTTTATATCTTTAATCAAGTCTATAAAATTGTTTTACAAAGTTTTAAAACTTAGTTTATGTCAAAATATCAAAATTCAAGTATCTCATGTTTTCATGTTTTGGACATATTTGCAAAATGGTGATATTTTACAAATAGGAGGTGTTTGAGTAACATGTTAATTTTTATGTTTACAATCATTTTCCAAAGTTTTATATTTTTCTGAATTTATTTATTATTTTTAAAAGCACTTCAAAAATTAGTTTTACTTTTCAAACCAGGCTGATAATGTGTCATCAGTCGACTGATGCAAGTATTTGGTCGACTGATGAAAACGCCTGGAATAATCAATAGTTTTTATTTTTATGTTGGTCGACTGACCAGTCGACTGATGAGGTAATCAGTCGACTGATAATGTCATCAGTCGACTAATAAGTGAGAAAATGCCTATAACAATTAGCTCATCAGTCAACTGATGAAACTCATCAGTCGACTGATGCTGTAACAGTTAGTTTTTTATTTTTATTATTTTTTTCTTTTTGCTGGGTTTCACTTGGGTTTTGGACTTTGTTTATTTATCCTATATATGCCCTATGCTCTTTCACTTATGAAAATAAACAAGAAAATTGTTTATACAAGTTTACAATAGAGTTTAAAGGTTTTAAAGTTTTTTTTAGTGTTTATTTAGTTTGTAAAAAAGTTTTCACAAGTGGAGGAGATCATCTTTATTGTTTGAGCTTCAATCTCCATCTCACCATATTGTTTTTCAGAGAAGAATTTCTAAACTCAATTCTAGCTATTTATTATTTTGATTATAATTTCCATAAGCTAGATTTTACACTAAGTTTATATTTAATTTTCTATTTGTTCACACACAACCTATTGAGCTTATTATAATTTCATACATAGTATTATTTGGGGTTGTGGGTTTGTGACTTGGAGAGTGAGTTTTCATTGTGTTCTCATCCATAGTAGAGAACAAATTATTGTATTAAGCCTTTATTGTGAGATACACCTTGTAATACACTTGTACACCGAGAGGAGTGTGTGGTGAGAGACGGGGTCGACCAAAGAGGAGTGGCGTCGGTAGTACATCCTAGGGAGAGGTTGTAAATCCGAGCACTTGAGGGAGACACGGGCTAGAGACCAACACTTAGAGGGTGTTGAGTGTGATTGCAAGAGTATGTATTTTAAAGTTTTCGGTGAGCTAGAAAAATGAATGTGAGGTGTAAACGTTGTTCAGTTGAGCATTAAAAATCCGGTTGTGTAGTGGATTTCTCCCCAGGAGAGGGGAGTGGGGAGCGGAGATGTAGGATGAAAGGTCCGAACTCCATGATCATTTCTTGTGTGTTTGAGTTTGACTTGTGCACTTATATTTTGTTTATCTCTATCGCATTCTCTCATTGTCTAATTTATTCACTATATTGTTTGTATATGTTTATAGTTTACTTACCCTTGTTTGTAATATTCTTGCACATATCTTGCTTGTATCATATTTGGTAGGATATTTGTTAATTAGTTTTATTTGGTATTAAATCGGATTAGATTAGCATAAACCCTATTCACCTCCTCTAGAGTTCTTTCCTAGTAGCATTAGGGTGTTTTCATGGTATACGCGACTTCGGTGCAATGAGGACTGGAGGATTCGCTAGGTATGCTTTGATATCTTCGAATGCATTCTGACAAGCATCATCCCAAATGAACGACACACCCTTCTTCGTGAGCTTCGAAAATGGTTGGCATTTCCCGGATAGGTTCAAGATGAACCGACGGATATAAGCTAATCGTCCTTTTAGTCCTCTGAGTTCTTTGAGGTTTCTCAGGTGTTGTAACTCATGTATCACCTTAACTTTATCCGGATCAATATGGATAGCCTTAGTGGTGATGACAAATCTGAGGAACTTACCGCTGGACATTCTAAGAAAAGACTTGGTGGGATTCATCTTTAATTGGTAACTCTGCGTTCTTCAACATTGCTCGTTAATAGGTGGATCCCGCATTCTTCAACCCAAAAGGCATGACTGTGTAGCAGAAGACACCAAGGGGTGTCCTGAATGTAGTATGTTTTTCATCGTTCAGGTACATCTTGATTTGATTGTAACCCGAAAACCCATCCATGAAAGACATTCTCTCAAATCGGCATGTGTTGTCGATAATAACATCCGTGATTGGAAGAGGGAAATCGTCTTTTGGGCAAGCAGTGTTCAGGTCTATGAAGTCGATACAGATCCTGATTTTCCTGTTCTTTTTAAGGATCAGTACGATATTTGCTAGCAAATCGAGATGTTGCTCTTCCCTGATTCACCCGAGTTGATTAGCTTTTTAACTTCAGACTCAATTGCTTCCACAATTTGCAAACGAAACCGTCTTTGCTATTGTTTGATAGGTTTTGCATTCGGTTTGACTTAAGACGATGGACTACCACATTTGGATCAAATCTTGACATATCTTTGTAATTCCAGGTGAAAACATCTATGTATTCCCTGATGAGGGCAATCAACTCTTCCTTCTCGTCTGGTGGAAGACTATCGCTAACGAATATGGGCTTCAGATTCACTTCATTGCTCATGTTCACCTGGACCACATTATCTTCGGTGGGAGGTTCTCTTTGCTTGAATATATCACCATATTGGATATTTAAGTGATGGATCCAAAGAACTTCCTAAGTTGGCAATTGGTCATCTTCTACTATTGTGGCGAGATCGATCGTGGCCATATTCGACATCAGGCCTTTGAATATTTCTCCAAGA